TTCATACCTCCAATTTCACTAAGAATTGGCTCTCAGACCACTCTATTACTACGCTGCCATGGCCGCCGAAGTCCCACGAGGTCAATATTATGGAGAATGTGTGGAGAGTGATGGCTAGAACTGTCTACGCCAGAGGTAGGCATTATGAAAATGTAGATGATTTGAAGGTGGCTATAGAGGAGGCATGGTCTACAGTAGCATCAGACCTTTTACTCAAGCTTTAAAAAAGCCTACCCCGTCGCATGCATGCAGTGATGGATGCTGGCGGCGGTGCGACGAAGTATTAAAAGCTCTTTCGTGTCTTGTGTCATACAGAATTTCGCGTATTTATGGCTATTGCGCGACGTTTTTTATAAATAGATTGCCATTGTTTACTTTTCGCATCAAACTGACATTACAGGCGTTTTTATCGGCTCGTGTTCATGCCGGACACGTGCCGGTGCGGCACGTGTTGCATTAAAAGCACATGTTCACATCTTATTGAAGACTGTATTTATTCTAACTTCGCGCACTGTATTGTGCGTCCCCCTACTGTACGAATGCTTTGTATCATCAAGTACTAATAAATGGGTCACTTTGAGAGATTTTAAAATATTTTTGGATGGAATCCACTATATGCCTCCAAAAGTCGTTTATGTGCCCCTTACAGCCGGTTAAGTAAGCCACAGGTCTCGAACTGCGAATCCGGCGCAGTAAAAGTCCCATAAACACCGTCAATACAAGGCAGTTCGGTATCCTCTTAGGAGCCCTACAACACACAAATAATGGGTCAAATGTTGCGTGCCGAAGCAAAAAAAATTATCAATTTTAATGGCCACCTTCAGTACCCGCGCGGCGCTGAAGTGCTCGTAGCCTCGCTTCGGTTGTGCGAGAGGCGCGGTTTGCAGCAAGGACTACAGTGCGCTCACTGCGATGCGCCAGCCAAAGCTGATGCACACGTTTGTTCAAATCCGATTGAAGGCGTTCTCGCTGGCGTTCCGTCACTTCCAGTTGTCTTCTCTCTCGCCGCTCTTTCGCCTGCGCTGCCCGCTGTTCCCTTCCCCTTTCCGTGGCCTGCCGTATTTCTTTGCGCTCTTTCAAAACAGAAAGAATTGCGTCACCCGTCAGCAATGCTCCGCTTCTCGTATTAACTGTACCATTTAACAAAACCTCACCATCGCTGCGCAACAAATTACATGACTCTTTAAAACTTGTAACGAGTTCACGGTACGACTCGAATGCGGCCGACTGGGACTGAGCCCCTTCGAGGTTGATGTGGGATAACTCCTCTCCGCCCTGGGTTGGGTGAGAGGCGGAGGCTTTAGCGAGGGAGCACGCGGCGCGGACGCGACGCGCCAATGGAACCGATCGGACGAGCTCGCGAAAAGGGAGTGGCTCACTGGCCGGTTACGCGCAGTCGCCCCGTGGTGCGTGAACGGGAGCGACCGGTAACGGGTTAGAAGCCAGCGCGCGCGACGGACAACCGAAAACGGACGTACGTAGGCGCAAAAGGGACGGGGGCGAGCTTGCCCCCGTTTACTGGTGGGGACGGGTGCCAGGTCTTAACCTCGCAGGGGGACGCCTCGGACACCTGTCCCAGTACAGTAGCGCAGTACCTGCCGCCTAGTGCGTGCCGCGTACTGTACACAATTAAAAAACTAGCGCCATAATTGCTACTACCGCACGGACGCTGCTACTACACGTGTGCACTACTGTACACGCGTGTTGCTTACAGACTACCGCACGGACGACACGTGTGCTAACGCGCACACGTAACACGCGTAGACTACCGCTCGGACGACACGTGCGCTACTGTACACGTACGCCAGATTAGGACCGCTCGGCATGCGCGCGCGCTCGCTACACGTGGGCACAGCGGCCCACGTGTATACCGTATACGACCTCCGCGCGCTCGCGCCGGTCATTATACTACAGTTAGTGATATCCGTCGCTTGGATTACATTCGGGTTAACCCCGCGTTTGCCAAAGTCCCAGAGCCCACACGCCCTGAAGCCGCTCCTGATGTTCTGAAAGTTAACTGCCTGATTGTACGCATTTGTCAGAAGCTCGCATACCGTGTACACATCATTTTTTGCACTGTCTTTTACGACGACAGTCCGTCGGTCGAGGTCATTTCGAAATGCAGTCTTGTAAGGGGAAAGACCGAAAAGTCCAAAGGCTGCGTGCGGTGGCTGGTGTGAGCAGGTAGGCCAACCATGACAATTCGATTGTCCCGGAATAACTTCAATACTTTGTACGAACAGTGCGCACCGTATCCATCGAGGGCGAGGAGAATATTGCGGAACCTTTGCCGTAATTGATGCGTCTCCTGTACAAAATTCTGTCCCCACTGATAGAAAATCCCAGTGTCGACACCAGTCTTTTCTCTGTAAACGCAATGCGCATTGGGGGGAAGGAATGTAAGAGGGGTCTCGATGGTGCCGTCTGTACGCTTCCTGTATTTTGGCTTTTTTCCTGGAAGCACTGCAAGCGGACACCAGGCCCTTCCATCTGCTGAAATAACTGGCATTATGGTCACATGTTGGGCATTAGAACTCCATTTTCGCTCAACTGAATTGCTGCGTCCATGGCAACCAAAAAGAGCTTTCGTTCGAGACCGAGCGATAGTGCGTGTCGAAAATCCACTCTCGTCTATGTTGAAGACTTGCGCGGGAGACTCAATTTGATATTCCCTGTACACTGGCATAAGCCGGACGTAATGCTTGGCGAGATTTGTCTGTGCCATCGCCAATTGTCGGGGCCTCTCTAGTTGCACTCGTCTTTTCAATGAGGTCTCTTTATGCCGTCCCAAGAAATTGCGCACGAAGCCATCCCCTGGTCTGCAATCTGTGAAAGAGAGTTTGGTTTGACGTGATTGCGGGAGTGACTTTACAAAATGTCGCACCAAATCCTTGAAGCAGCTGCGTGATAGTGGCGTTCCGCTGTGTGAGAATGACAGTACTGCATTTTTGATGATGGTCTCTTCATCTCGAGTAAAGAGGGGTTTGCGGCCTCGTCTCTGAAGTGCTTTGTTCGTCTGTTTGCTCATCCGCTGAAGTGTTGAATATGACACACAATGTGACTTCGCACATTTGCGTATTGAGATGTTGGAGGTTCGTAGACTGTGAAGGGCTTTGTCGTACTGCTCGCTTCGTGCATCAGGTTTTGCAGCGAGTACGCGTTTTGGGATCATCGAGGCTACCGAGGATGCGAATGACAAAAGGAGGGAAGTGACGAAGTCGCGAGGCTGCTGTGGCGGATTGTGAAGGGAAATCGAGGCACAAAGTTGGTGATCGATTGAATGAAGCCCGCCAAAAAGGCTCGTCGTGTCAGATTTGAAATCGTATGAGCCGTTCTGACGGCAGGCGAACTACAGTGTTTCGAAGGCTGTTTGAAATGGCGCATGTAGATAATTTTAATTGCCAAAGCTACCCAAATTAGTCCTCTGACCCAGATTTGGTGCACCCGATGATACTCACCGGACGCCGTCGATGACGCCGTCAGAGCTCTAACTACATTGTGTACTGGCTAAGCTCAATCATGATAGTGCGATGAGTGTTTTCACCAACGAGCAGCCACCGTCAGAACCATGAATGACCAAATGGCTATTCTTTATTGCTACTTCTCATTCAGAGCCATGCTCGGTAGGATGTAGATGCCGAGTCTCGTCGGCCGATCGGCGACCGACGCTTTCTCTGTGTACAGTAAACTTGGATTGTACGCGCGCACATTTTGACATTTGTGCGATACACATTTAACCTAGCATGGGGTCGCCCGTCCGAGAAAGCGGCGCGTTATGTGAGCACAACGCGCCGTTTGCGTGTTATAAAATCCCGATTTGGTCAACACAACTTGCGATTTTTGGATTTCACGAGGCGCCCAGTACGGTATGTGACGTCGTCACATCGATCTGCATGCACTCGGTAATTAACGTCTGCATGATCCGTGTTCGTTCTCTGTTGTGTTTCGCAGTGAGAAATGCGCGCCTGCCGACCTTAGATGCGATAGAGCGTCTGGAACATGGCACTCAGACGCCAAAAGTTTCTGCTCTCTAAACAAGTTCGCGATCCCGACGACATGGGGTACAGTTTTTCTCTCTATTGCATTTTCTGCGCTCTCATCTTTATCACATGATTGCTTTTCAGGTGGATTCTGCGCCGTCTCCAAAACATGCATGGCGTCATTGACAGACGCCGCCACCATACCTTGGCGTAGTTGAGAAATTTGAGGAGGTTCAGTACGACATGGGAGACCATTACGGGCTGACTAGTATGTATTTGGAGTGATTTGGGCTTTTCGCTTGCTACGCAGAGCAACGCTGGAGCAGTTACTTTGATTTTGCGCACAGTGCGCTCTGCAATGCCGAACTGTCGCAAAACTGCTGGTTTACGGTGTCCATTGTGGAGCAGATTTGCGGAGTCATAACGAGCACAAGCTAAGATCCGCGAACGGTGTTTGGTGGCGTGAGGAGGATGGGACCAGAAAGCGGCTTTTACATGTTTGACATGTACGGACGGCAGCATAACAGCCGGAACCGTATGACACGTGGCACTTCGTGTTCGTGCGTCTGGGGCTGCACTATTGGGAGGGTGGCACAAACAAAAGCAGCACTAATGCATAAGGGCCACTATAGTCCCATTTGCTGGAGCTCTTGGTTTCCGTGACTCAGCACAGTAGGAGTGCCGCCTACGGCCCTGAAACGGCCCTCAGGGCCGTTCCTAACGAAGAGTTCGCCGTGCCAGCACCCGAGCACCCTGAAATTTGGCATGAATGGATTGGTTGAACGGGAGTAAAAGCATTTCCAATAATTTTTTCAACCAATACATTCATGCCAAGTTTCAGGGTGCTTGCGTGCTAGCACACCGTGCTCGTCGTTAGGAACGGCCCTGAGGGCCGTTCGCCGCAATCCTCGGAAGTCTTTCACGGCCTCAACAGGAATTGATGAACTCTCCTCTGTTGCAACCCTCTTCTTCATTCAATACGCAGTCAACCCCCGCTTGAAAGACAGCAGCACCAGAAAAATGAGCACTAAGATGTTTTGTGGCATGTATCGAGCATGCCGCCTTCATCGCTTCTCCACTACAAGACTTCAAACAAGCTTCGGCCCCGAATGTGTATCAAGAATCCCAACTCGAAACTTCTCTTCACCGGTCTGGCAGTCCCCACCTGGCATCGCTGACGCCATGGGGTCTATCCCCTCTCAACCTGTTGCAAACCTAGTTCCCATGGTCCTCGAGCAGACGCCGCGGGGCGAGCGGGTCTTCGACATTTACTCCCGTTTGCTCAAAGAGCACATCATCTGCGTCAACGGCCCCATCAATGACGGGGTGGCCTCTCTTGTCGTGGCACAGCTCCTGTTTCTAGAGTCCGAAAACCCGTCACGTCAGATCAACATGTATATCAATTCACCAGGTGGGGTAGTGTCTAGCGGACTGGCTATATATGACACGATGGAATACATATCAGCGAAAGTATCTACGCTTTGTGTTGGGCAGGCTTGCTCTATGGCATCCCTTTTGCTAGCTGCTGGAGCTCCGGGCGAAAGGCGGGCTTTGCCGAATTCGCGCGTCATGATTCATCAGCCGTCTGGTGGCGCACAGGGGCAGGCTAGCGATATCGCCATCCATGCGACAGAAATTCTTAGCTTGCGGAAGCGCCTAAATGCGATTTACGCGCAACATACCGGGCAGTCATTGCGGGAGGTTGAGTCGCGAATGGAGCGCGATCATTTCATGTCCGCGGAGGACGCCCGTAATTTTGGCCTCATTGATCTAGTTGTGCATCCACGGGATCGAACGGAGCAGGCGCTTACCGCTGAGTCTTGATACACACTAGTCAAGTGTCGCTTCTGACGCAGGGAGCGATATACACACTGCAATACCACGGGAAGGTTTCACACAAAGCCGGACACTGTGCATAGACTTTCCTAACTCCTACCGCCGTCTTGTTAAACCTTCGATTAATGGTCTTGTTTTACAATAAGTTATTGTGCGCAGGTACGCTTATAGAAATGTCAATCAGTGTACGTCGCGAATCTCGTTCACCTCTACTAATGCCTTCTCGAGCAAGGTTTCTATCGCTTGCATGTCCTTTCGCCGTTGTGTCGTTTCTTCGCCCTCGACCATAAGCTTCTCAATTGTCTTTGGTTTGTACAATTTCGATACCAAGACGGATTGCAGGGCATCTTTCGATCTTTGAACCAGGAAAGTTATAATCGCCTTGGGTACCATGTCTTGCATCCTCTTTCGCACAATATTGAAGTAGCTGTCAAGTAAAACTCGCAAAATATCCAGTTCCTGCCTCTCGTCATCATTCAAAGCTTCCGATTTCGTGATGCGAAGGTGATTCGGGATTGAAGAGTTCTCTGCAGTGGACCTGCTGATGGCCGCCACTATCCCATCACTCGGGGGTACACGTCCGATGCCCGACTGCCCTCTAGGGGTTGGTCTTCGCCTATTCGCCCCTGCACCGTGATCCGTATTGCGCCCAAAATCCCCAGTTCTGTTTGTGTGAGTGTGCCCGAGAAGGTTTTTCTCTACCCAAGCGTCCGGGTGGTCAGTCCTTGATTGAATGTGTCTTTCTCGTAGTGACCTCGAAGAAGTTGAACTGTTTTCAATGTGATTTGTTTCTGTTGTGTTTGGCATTAAAGCTTTTTCTATCATAGTAGATAGCGCTTGTCTTCCGCCTACAAAATCTGGATGCCATGTGTTGATGTAGCTCATCTCCATTTCGACGAGGTTGTGGATCATCTGTGTCGTGGGTGTTTTCTGCTCTCGCAACAGCTTTAAGGTTGCTTCCGAAACTGCAAGTCGTAATCGATGAAACCGAGACAACTCTGCGCCTTCGACAGCTTCGGCTAACCTCGTTAGCTCATCGTAAACCATGTCAACACAGGTTAGCGAAGGGTTTAAGAAGCGGGAAATCTGCTTCCGAACCAAGAGTTCAAAAGCAGACTCAGGGATGAACAAAGGAGTACGATGACCGGTTGCGTTTCGCATCGCCGTTCGTATTTCATCAGTTCCCAAGTCCTCAAAGGGGTCCATCTGCGATAGTTCGATGCCAAACTTGTCGTGAAATATGTAGCTAATGCGGGCTCCACCAGCCAGCTCTGTTGTTGTGAGAGGAGATCTAGGCCGTCCGTCGATAGCATCCGCGTAGCAGGAGGCATACTTCGTAAGAAGATGTAGTAGCGTGCCGCTGGCGTCGTCAGCCCCAGACAGCTCCGGTCCCAACGTGGCCACTTCTGCACGCACCTCCGACAGTTGGGATGTAAGCTTTGAGCGGGTAGATGGAATGACATTTCGAATGTGTTCCATTAGCATGGTGCTTAAAAGCTCGGCAAGGTACTGCGAACCCATCTTACTGGCGTGTGGGGCATACACAGGGTGGCTCTGGAAAAAATTGCGCTCAGCGACGCGCGACTCGGCAACCGTCGTGTTCTTGTCCAAGTCTGCCTGGGATCTATTCACAACTCCAACATAGCCTTTCCGCAAGGGAATGACACGGCTCTGCAACATGTCCAGAGCGTTGGTGCCGGCATCCATGAGATCGAGCTTGGTAATGACACCAAGCGTCCTCATGCCATGCGGGTCAACGCGGCGAGCCATTTGAAGCGCATCAGAAGTAGCCAGGTCAGTGTTGGCGGGATGTACAGCAAGAATGATGGTGTTCTCTTTTTCGATGTAAGATAGAATCATGGCGCGAACGAGCTTCTCGATGTCCGGAGGTTGATCACCGACGGGGACTTTCGTGAGGCCTGGAAGGTCGATGAGAGTGAGATCGACGACATCCTTTGAAAAAACTTTCATGATGAGGGCTGTTGGGCTCAAGCTTTTGTTCTTCCCTGCTACCCGCTCTGTCTCCGCCACAATCTCTGCTTGGATTTCATTCTCCTCGACGAACTTCTTGTCGGGGGCATGGATAAACTCCACCCATCGTTTCGGGTTGGATTTCTTACCGGATAGCGTATCAGATGAAGTCAATTTTTGAACGCCCTTCAATTTGTTCAACTGAATGAGGATTGGACTTCGGGTGACGACTCCAGAGCCTCTCGGCAGAAAATCAAAGCCCACGATAGATTCAAGTACGGAGCTCTTTCCAGAGGATTGCGAACCAACGACAACGATCTGCGGCAAATCGATGGGATCAGCTAGCCCGCATCGCTGGAAGATGCTGTGCAATTTGTTGACAACCGGCAGCAACCTGTCCATTGCGATCGCGTTGGGCGAAGGCATTGTGTTGTAGATTCAATGTCTTCCGGGCTTCAGAATTGAAACTACTTTCTTTGTCTTTCGCAGAATCCGTCAAGCATCTCTCAATCTTCCGATAGATACATGGACTTTCTTGTGGGTGCTTTGTGTGGTTCGAGTACGAACGGTTGAGGCAAGGGCCAAGGAGGCGCTCCAGGCGCTCACGGTTCTGCCTCAAGGACCGTTCATGATTGGCCAGGTCAAATCGCGGAAAGATCACAAAATCCAATTCATTTTACAGACCGACCCGCCCTCGTCTACTGTACTCGAGTGTTGTACACATGTAAGACTTCGACGGCGGTGGCGTAACATTCTGGGGTCCGAACCAGTTGGTCCGAACGCCTACCATCGTCCCTTCTTGCTGCATTCCAAGGTACGGACGACAATCTTAAGTGTCCGAAACAAAAACACTACTTCGAGCCTGAGAGCTGGCCTGTGTCTGACTTCTAGCCAGAAAATGCCCTCTCAATCCGATGTTGCGCGGTACGCAGCAAAACACCCATCATCTACGACGCTGCTGCCGAGCGGCAAGCTGCAGTTTACAAAAAGCGGGATGGAATTTGCTGCCATGACGTCGGGGAAGGTGCTAGAAGCCTATGCAAATGGGCTTGCGTATAAGCGCGCACTACAGCTGAAAGCCAACGAGGGATACGACTTTGCCCAACACGAGCCGTACGTCGTCCCGCACAAGCACAAAGACAAGAATCACTTTCTGTTTTGCAAGCTTACGAGTTCTGTCTTGCCGCGCCGGAAGGATGTGGTCATTGGCCATGTGAATGGGAAAAGATTTCAGAGAAAGTTCAAAGAAGCAGACCGGCAGCGGGAGGAGGCGGCGCGAATCGCGGCGAAGCGGAAGGAGAAGAAACTGGCGAGGGCAAAGTCGATGGGAAAGAAAGAAGGGGAAAATCATAATGGTGGTGAAGGAGAGAATGGGGAAGAGGAGGCTGGAGACAAGGAAGCGCCTGACCTTCTCGACGGGATTCTGTCCGATGCCGACGAAGATATGGGTGACGGGGATGAGGACGCGAATAATGACGGCAAAGAAGAGGACACGGGCGATGAGGAAATGGAAGAAGCCCCGAAGCAAACCAAGCTCGATGAGAGGATCAGTGAGGATGAGAAGGACGGGGCAGTTTTCTGGACTCGCGGTCGTCGCCGTGCTCGAGCCGCAGCAAATCGTGATGCCGCCACGCGCAACGCTAGTGAGAACGGGATGGAGGAGGGTATCACTATAAGGAAATCCAGATCCAAAGCGAAGGGAGGCAAGCGAGTCGTTCCCTCATCTGAAATCACCATGGGTGCAAATGACGATGCTGCTGCAGCCTCAAATGGGCATCAGGAGGGCGAAGTTGCCACGAAAAAGAGATTGCGGTCGGAAAAGGCTCCGAAGAAGGCACGCCGGCCTCGGCAAAGACGGAAGTCAGACCGAGCGGAAGCTTGACCTAAAGACATAAAGGACATCTTCTCTTTCTCATTTGTGTTTTATGTTCTTTCGTCCGTGGTGGCTCAGAAATGCTGCGCGAGGGTCTAATAACACGGTTTTACAGGTGTGAAGTTAAGCTGTAGTGTTGCACCAAAAAAGGATTCTTGGGAGGAGCAACAACGCGAGACGCGTACACAGTGGGAGATAGGGAATTCATGCCACTGGAGCGAACTGGAATGTAAGCCAGAGGTCTTCTCGGAGAAGCATCTCCATGACTTAATGACAGATATGTACATGTGTGTACAAATAGGTATGTTCAGGGAGGGCAAATGCTATGCAACCGTGCGCTGGCATCGGTCAAAACCCATGCAAAAGCCCTTATTCGCCGCCTTTCGCGGTGTCTTTGCTACTGAAGTCTTGTTTTGGCTCTGCATCACTTTCGGTGGTAGTGTTGGGGATGTCTGAAGTATCCTGAACATGCTCCGTATCTGTTGTATCGCCGACAGAAAGTGGGATGGAGAGCTCCTCATCACAAATCAAATCGATGTTCGGCGCAAATGGTTCATCAGTGCAAGTCCTGGAGGGAAGATGCTCAAATTGGGTGTTGGGGATACCAACGCCGATGCTAGTTGTGGTGGATTCGTCGCCACGCGAATCCAAATCATGTCCAAGGATGCTTAATGGCGGGGCAGGACGTTTCTGCATATGCTCAAAAAAGGGCTTCTCGTCGTCGTCATGTTCGTACTGAAGCGGGATTTCAGGGTCAAGACAGAGCTCAGCTTTCGCGTGGTCCATCAATGAGTAGTCAGTTGAGGTTTCGCCGACGTCCGCCTCGTCAGATACTGGCGGTGTTGGTTCCGTGCCGTCGTTTCTTACTTTGGCCAGGACTTGGAGCTGTTTCAAGTCTATGCAGAACTGGGGCGGTTCGGAACGCGACCGCGAGAGAGCAAACGGATTAGGCTGGTCCTCATCTTTGAGCATTGCAGGAGACGGGGGAGGTGGGGGCGGAGGCGAGCCCTCGCCGCGGGGACGGTGGTGCTTGTGGCGTGAAGAAGGCTTCGACTTGGACGCGGTGCGAGGCTTTTTCTGAGGCGCGTTAAGGCGTGGGCGGCGCCGCTCCGACATCATGAGGACGATATCTGACTCTGAGTAGAGCTTGAACGGATGGGCGGAGGTAAGGCGGACGTGTTCCCTATTCGGGGCGTACGCCACATGAGGCGTGCGAGCCTTGACGACGACCATGGGGAAGTGAATGCGAGCCAGGGCAGGCGACAATCGTGCGTCCGGGTCGTCCGGACGGCGCTCGACGAGGCGGCTGAAGGCGACGAGCCTTGCCTGCAGCTCAGTGGCGAGGGCGCGCTTCCTGGCGAGACACCTCCTGATCTGGCAGAGCTGTACGCGGACGGAGGGGGCCTCGTTCGCGGCGGGCGGGGAGGGCGGGGCCAGGTCGTCGACGCCGATCCAGCGGAGGGCCTTGCCGTCGCGCTGGACGCAGCCGGCCGCGACCATGACCTTGAGGGCGTCGTAGACGCGGCGGCGGGTGTTGCGCTCGACGGCGGCTGCGTCGCGCGCGGGGTTGAGGCGGCGCAAGTCG